TTTGTTGCCAAGCAAATAACTAAGTGTGTGTTTATCTCCATGATAAAACAGATCAAAATCTGGTTCCAGAATCGCAGAATCAAATGGAGGAAGGAGAACAAGCGGCATTTCCCGGATTTCCTCGCCGGCTCTTTCACAGTGGCATGCGAAACTCGATCAGATGAAAAAGGATCCTGGATTGACAAAGTTTAGGGATAAGGGGACCCATTCATCTCGGAGTCTCAGAAGCAAAGACTACAGTATAAATGTTAAAACAAACAGTGACTTATGATGAAGCAGTGATGAAAAAAGGAGCTATAGACACTTTTAAAACTAGTTAACTTCCAGCAAAGGAATGATATAGGAACAGAGCCAGGGTCTACCTTAGCTGCTTAACTTAGATGATTAGAACATTTTAAACGTACCATCGTTGGTTAAATCAGGTGCACTTGCTGTTAGTTAAGACTGGCATTAATTTTATCAACGCGAACATTACATATTTTCATATCTTCATAAGATGTGTACGTTTTGTTAACTTGTTTTCATTCAGCTTGTAATTTAGTATTTTAATGGACCATTTTACAGTCGTGTACTCAGTTGCCAAGCCTTTGATTTGCAGTGAGGCTGAAGGTGACCTTGTTGGGATAGAGACCAGTATCTTGTTAGCATGATAATAATATAATTTACATTTGAATGGCCTACGTGTAGCCGCACCCTCTTCCTCGCTTCCGTTTGCCCTTGCGGGGGAGAGTACGGATACACGTAGGCTATTCAAATTTAAATTACTTTGTTATCATGCTAACAAGATACTGGTCTCTATCACAACAAGGTCACCTTCAGCCTCACGGCTACACGTAGGCTAACATTTAAAAAGCAGCAAGGTTTGTATCATAACAAGGTAATCCTTAGCCTCACTCCTGTTCAATAGCTTGGAAACTAAGCACCAGTTGTAAAATGAACTATTCAGTAATTCAGAATTCAGAAATTTTAAACTCATCCCAGCCACCGTCTCTATTGTCGCTCTCCTAGTTACTATTTTCTCTCGATACCTGACCATGAAAAATCACTCCCAACCGTTAAATTTTTTATCTTTCGCCAATTGGCCCTTTCTTGTATAAACGACTGAACAGTTTTAAAGAATAGGTTTCCGTGAGAGCTTTTGTACGGCTGAAGTTTATAGGCACTAAGTTGTAGAAAAGGTTACTTAATAAAATCTGACATGACAAGAATTTTCATGAACGTTTCCGCTGTCATATTTCAAGCATGAATTCTTAATGATTTCACGAGCTAATGCTGCGATTAACTGTTCCGCATAGAAAATAAAAGAAGTTACTAGAGGTCACTAATGAAGCAGTTTGTTCAGCGTTTCCATAAAATGCAGACGTTTACAATCCAACTCAGAAACTTAAATACTGTAATCACCCTTCTTCTCTTGAGAAACATAACGGATTTTTCTCAGTTAAATATTGATGTTAACTCGAACATTCCTACTAAAAATAATTGAATCATTTCCACCCAGTGTGATAAGTGATGAAGAGGAAGTTATGCCTTCGTTTTTGTTCTCTGTCAAACAGGACTATATCCACTCTTGTTCGTTTTGAAATTGCCGTAAAAACCTGGGAACGGGAACTGTTTATTTTTTCGTGCCCATGGCGCCACCTGATAAACGAACGAGAGAGTCCTGTGGCCTAGACTGATAATAGCGACACTTCCTGTTTTTATCTCGGAGACTTCACGGGGAAGAGTTTCACTTTCGATTCTCGCTGCGGTCTCCGTGGAGTTATACATTTCATCTTGGCAAAAAAAGGTTTCATAACAACGTGCAGGTTAGTAAGAAGTTGCCATGCCCAAATTTGTTATAATTATATAATAGTTTGTTCTAGAACGCTTACTCCTTTTTCGTCCGATGGAAGAGAAGTGCTGTATAAAGTATAATGAAAGCGTAACCAGCACACCAACAGTGAACTGTCGTTCATTTGAGGCAAAATCTTACGGAAAGTAGTCCGTATTTTCATGAGAAATGATACAACTTCCGTTTTAGTTGGTCGAGAATCATTGCACTTTAAGGGTACCGAATAAACGTTACATTATAATATGCACACTCATTTACCATGAACACCAGAAAGGGCAACTGCGATCAAATCGTTGCTTATCATAACAACTTGACAGATAAATTTTCATCATGAAACTGATATTAAGTCCATGGCCAATCTATTCTGTTGTGTTACTATATCGGAATAAAAATAAGGGTTGGCATGTTGCATCACTAGTCTAGAATTACTGATAATTGTAATCGAGGACTAATAGTTGATTCCTTCTCTCGACAGCTATAATCGATCAACTGAGCCTTGCTGAAACTCTGAAGGGCCTGATTAGGTTCTCAATTAAGGTCAGAAGGGATCTGTATTTTACTTTCAAGACTTATTGATTTACAGCTCATTCTTTACAAGTTAAATTCTGTTATTGTTCTATCTAACAAGCAACTTGAATGAATGTATGTTAATTTTCCTCAGTAATGCTTGAGCGAAACTTTTGTTTACATGTACAGAAATTTGAATTGATCTGGCTTCTGATCGTATGTGAGGCGGATTGGTTACACGCAGTTTTCTTTAGATTTGTATCCCCTTTAGCGGCTTTCTTCATGATCTGTAAACAAAATTTTGAAGCAAAATTCACTGCATACATTACAGATTTCTGAGAAGTGACGCTGTAGCATTCCATCCAACTAGCATAGAATTTAGGAACCACTGCAAACTCATAAACCGAAAAACGTACCAAGTAATGAACATCTTTATACCAAATACAACAAATTCACTGCTAAAAGTGCAATCTTTTTTGGATTACGATTTTTTCTCAAACCGATCGCCAGAGTATTTAATTACCAGTGAATCACAAACTTCACGAGGAGCTCAACGGGGTCAATCCGAGAGTAAATCGTCGAATAGTTATTTTTCATGACACCGTCTATGTTTAGCCCTATGGATGACTTTGCGGAAGTCTGTGTCCTACAAATTTCAGTATCTAAATAAAAATAAAGATTGAGCATCAGTTTTGGTAACCCAAAATGAAGGGATAACTGAAGAGAGAATTGTTTAATTGCTTTTCGTGACAGTTAAATTCTTACTTCTCCTTAAGACAATCTAGATGTACATTGTAGATATTAAGGCCGTTGGGAATTTTTTTTTTCGAATAGCTCTCATGCACTCGCCATTCGCTATCTATTGGTCCTCTTTAAACCGGGAAAATGCTGCTAGCTGTTCTGATTCATGTTTGAAAGACTTAAATTTAGCTTGACCCCTTGAGATGGTCAGCTGATGAATCATTCATAACAAAGGCATAGTTTATGCTTTCGTTAACGTTAGTTCGTTCTTTTCTTAGAAAATGAAGGGAAAGTTTAATGACTGCAGTTGTATCATTTAATGAAGCCATCCACGGGGAAATCTATCACTAGGTTTATTTGTATGTCTGTTTGTTTTTTTGCTCGCTCGACTATCCCTACAGGTTCCTTTTGCCTAGTATTTAGGACCATAGAGCATGTATTTGTCATACAAAAGTCGTTTGGATATGTTGCGATTGTTCTGACGCACTGCCCAGAAGGATAGAAATCGGAGATGCTTTACTTGGACATGATAAAACATTATAATAAAGTTTCCATATGAAGCGGGTTCTGATTGTCTAAAACAGCGGGGTTTATCAGAGTGCAGATGCATGGAGTAATCATGTCACGCCATCGACCAATTTGTACATTGGCCTGCCAATTCCCTGACTTCTCTCTTTTTTTTTCTTTTTGACCCAGAAAGCGAACCTTGAAAACAATATCAGAAGACACAAAAATAAGTTTGGAAACATGCCAAGCGCCGAAATTGAGCAAATTATAACGAGGAAAAGAAGGAAAACACCAAAATGAACACGAATTGGACTATCCAAGTTTTTTTTTAAAGCTAATTTTGACGCTGTAATGAAACTCAAACACAGTCAGCTAACTCTCGTATAGCGTAGGAATGGAAACGATGAAAGATGTATCAAAACTGAAGTCTCAAAAAGTTAAACAAATCAGAGCGTCGGAGTGACTGCGATCACGCTGTGGCCCAACGTGCAAGTTCCTTTGACTTCGCCTTCGTCTCGTTTTCGCCTACACCTATTTCCTACTTTAGCCGCTTCCTCTTTGCTTTCAACAGAACAGAGTACAATGGAGTCTTCTCTATGTGTTAATTATTTTCATTCTCGTTCATAGAGAAACACGGTTTGGTTCTGCCATGGAAACTGTAGATCGGTTACTGGAGTCCTTGAGAATTTCCCAAGAAAATGGCCATAAAGATGAGGAAGAGAAATCCTGCATTGATTTAGGTAACATTTACCTTGATTTAAAACAACATGAGAAAGCTGTGGAGTTTTATGAAAAAGCCTTTTCGATCTGCAACGAAACGGGACACAAAGACGGAGAAAGACTTGTTTGCAGTAAGATTGGAATTGTCTACGCTGCTCTTGAAAAGCATGAGAAATCTCGTGAGTACTTGGAAAAAGCCCTTACAATCTGTAAGGAATCTGGACATGAGAAAGAAGAATGCGAGCTTCATAGTAATCTTGGTGACGTGTACTATGCCCTCGGTTTGCATGAAAAATCAATTGAGCACCTTGAAAATGCTCTTGCGATAAGTAAAAAAACTGGTAGCACTAAATTAGAAGCCAAATTGTACAAAAAGCTGGGTAACACGCATTTCGCTAGTAGTCAGTATGAAGAGTCCATCTCCCATTTCCAGAAAAGTCTGGAAATTCGACAAGCACTCAAAGACAGAGGTGGAGAGGGGCGCCTTTACAATCTTCTAGGTTACGTTCATTGTGCCCTTAGCCAGTATGAGAAATCTATGGAATACTTTGAGAAAGCTCTCGTGATCAATGAGGAGGTCGAGGATAAGAGAAGAAATGGAAACATTCACATCAACCTTGGAGATGTCTATCATGCTCTTGGCCAATATAAAAAGTCAGTCGAGTATTTACGAAAAGGTCTTCAATTGAGCAAGGAGGCCCAAAGCAAACAAGGAGAAGGAAAGGCTTACAGCAGTCTCGGAAAAGTGTATCACGTCCTTGGTGAATACGATAAAGTGATTGAGTGCTCAACAAAAAGCCTTGAGATTAGTTTAGAAGTGGGAAACAGATATGTAGAATGTGCATCCCTCAGTAATATGGCTGGAGTATATCATGTTCGAGCCCAATACGATAAATGTCTCGAATACTATAAGAGGGCCTTAGAGATCTATCAATCTCTTGGAGATAAACACGGGCAAGGGACGATTAACACTAATCTTGGCACTCTGTATTACTCTTTAAGCAAGTATGAGCTATCCGTCACATACTACGAAACAGCAATTAAGATCAGCAAAGACATAAGAGACAGACAAGGAGAAGCGCGAGCCTACCTTAACCTCGGCGGAGTACAGGAGGCTATTGCCAATTATCCAGAATCTCTAAAATCATTACAGAGATCTCTCGAAATCAGTCAAGATATCGGGGAC